TTGACTGTATGATCTGGTGAACTGTAAAGTGCCTTGAGATGATGTGTTGTAATTTCGCGTTATATAAATAAACTGAATTGAATTACCTTCTGTAGCTCATTTGAAATGGACATAAGCAATCAGGAAAAAAATGTGTCATGTAAATAGGCCAGTCAATATATTCTGATTGCAACTCTAGCGCACATCATCTTTGTGGTATTATTCCACTTTGAAGACCTTTTCAACAGCAGCTTTAGAATTTAGCAATATTCAGAAAGGAGAATCTAAACCCTGCATTCGATTTTGCAGACGGTACCCTCACATAACAAAAATGTAAATTTTTAAAAAGAAGTTAATGATTAGGAGGGCGGGGGAGGGGCAGACAGACTTGGCAGGCCCAAGAGGGTAGTGAGGGTCTGCTCAAAACATCTGGTNCATCTTTTTTCCTTGGCTTTTGGCACAATTTGAGAGGTTTTACTTTGTTTTATTCTTTTTGTATACTAATATGTATTTTACACTCGTTTTTTCTCTATTTTATAATTTTATTGTATTTTATGATTGTGTTCAGCACTTTGGTCCTGTTCGGTGTATAAAGTGCTTCATAAATAAAGTTGATATGGTATGGTATGGTATCATCTTTGTGGTATTATTCCACTTTGAAGACCTTTTCAACAGCAGCTTTAGAATTTAGCAATATTCAGAAAGAAGAATCTAAACCCTGCATGCGATTTTGCAGACGGTACCCTCACATAACAAAAATGTAAATTTTAAAAAGAAGTTAATGATTAGGAGGGCGGGGGAGGGGCAGACAGACATGGCAGGCCCAAGAGGGTAGTGAGGGTCTGCTCAAAACATCTGGTGGAGCCCTTGGTCAGGGACTTGTTTAATTCCCACCTCCTGGGACAGGGCCTCTGGATTGGTAGACTGAGGTGGTGGTGCTTTGGAACTGATTCTGGTATTTTCAGGTAGATTCAGAATAGAAGGACCCAGTACTTATTTATTATTAAACAGGTGCAGATCTGCAGTGGCTAGGGCATCTAAGACAGGAAACTCTGCAGGAGAGAAACATAAGTTAGGGACCACATAAATCTAACGGAGGAAGATTATAAATGTGAGTCACCAACCACGATGCAAGGACCTTAGATTCAGGAGCAGGTGGATCGGATGAGCAGTGATTAGCAACTGAGCAGAGCTGGACAGGTGAAAGGTGGAATTAATAATTAATAATTTTGATCGTGGTATTAACCTAGCTGCTGTCATGTCTGCTACTTATGTCTGTCTGTCTGTCTGGTACTTATTGTGAAAATAAGTATTACATGAGCATGTTGGGATTTTATGTTCAACGCTCATCCAGGGATGCCAATTAATGTTGTGGATTTATATTCTATTCAGTCTCCAGCCAGCTGGGAATTTATATTTCTGATACTTTAAGATGTTTATTGCCCTCCCCAGTAGGGCTGGTAAATATCTTATTTAATCAGATATTATTTTGGCTGTTATATATTGTTGTGAACACACTCTACTGTCTGTGTGTTAGAACAATAAATGAAAGAGTGATTTGAGCACTAATCATGGTCAAACTGTTAATTCTGCACATACATGGAATAAATTCACCACAAATTCTGTTCAAAATATAAAAGTTTATTAACAAAATTCATTCAGCTCCAAGTCAAACATATTTCAGTTTAAAACTCTTAACTAAAACTCATGAAACTCAACTAGCTGAACTAATATGTACAAAGAAGAGGGGGAAACATGGTTGAAAACCATATTATAATTTAAGATGGATCTTGCGTTTGAAAACCAAAGTTTATATGGAAGAATTTGGAATATGATCAAATTAGCTTTTCACTAATTTAGAGAAATTTGAATATTTTCAGACCAATTCACAATGTAAATCCATTAGTTGAATAAAACATTATTTGGCCAAATAATGTTTTATTAAATTATTTGCTTCATCAGGAACCAATACTCTTCAGTTAATGAGTCTTTACCCTCTTTGAAATAGCCAGCAATGAACAGACACGAGGATCCCATTAAATGACTCTTGGTCATACTTTGTAATCGAAATGTAATGAGCATATGAGGAACACATGAACACTAATGTTATATCAGTGTTTAAACCCTTAGTGAAATAAAGCTTGTCCAAGCTTCAACAACAGCTCAAAACATTTACTGTAGCATAGCGTAGCATGAAGTCCATCCTCTTAGCTTTGTCTCTACTCATCAGTAAACACATGAAATGATCAACATCATCAAAAGACATTGTTTGTTCTGTCCCTAATTTTGCCAGACCTGCAAACCTTTTTGTCCATGTCCGTTTGGAAGGCTAGAGGTTTCATCCAGCAGCAGCTTAGCTGTCAGGCTAACAGCAACCAGGGGTTCTTTGTTTCAGTCTCACACCAGGGGTCCTTCTCATCCAGTCTGGCTTTATTAGTTTTGAAACACAAGAGAAATGTGTTGCAAAAAGGTCTCCTTTGCAGCAGCTTGGTTTTGAAAGGTCAATCATGATGACTTATTCTTGATGATTCTTGACATCTGGGTCTTTTTGGGCATGGTTCTTAATTTTTTGCAGAGACACTGCCGAAGTGGAGACCAGCCAGCCTCACAGGAACAAGAGCTAGTTTGGCTGAAAATGTGGGGCGCAGAGGTAGCACAGCTGTTTATTCACCAAAATTGTTTTCTCTTCTCTGGTCATCATGACAAGATGAAATATGGACACTGGTTCCTAATGTCCAAAAACCATGATCATGGCATATGGCACAACACTGTAAAGTATTTTAACAATATAGATCAGCTACCAGGGGTGCGATCATGGCAATTTGTTTCCATCTGTACTGACTGTACTGGTGATGCTTGAATGGTCACAGCTGCGTGACAATGCTTTTAAAAAACAGCTGTGGAATGAATAATATGTACTTGCCTATTCAGGTCATTTTATGTTCATCGGGTCTATCAGTCAACTCTCTTTAATCTACTGTTTATCGAAGAAGAAGTTACTGTAATGAAATATCGTACACTTGTGCTGGTTTCCTTTTTACATTTTTATATATCTAAAAGGGCAACTTATGTTAAATATTATAATATTTTGTTAACTGTAAAACTGTATTTAATGATAAGTCCATATTTAAGGGCGATTTACCAATACCATTGCTTGTCAAATCAAGTACAAATACATTTATTTCAAGAAAATTTTACTAACATAAAATCACTTCTCTGAAACAGAGCAGCACATGATAGGGCTGACTGCCAAGATCGCGCTGTTTGATTTTTGAGAAATAACTTTTAGAAAGAATGAGGAAAATGTGTCTGTTACCAGGAAAGGATAAAAGAGCTGATGGAAAAAATTTGTTGTCATTCTGACACCACAAAATACTGTCAACTGTTATGCTTGTTACTGTATATGCAGGTCACAATCATTGTTATAAATACACAACAGGTTGCGTTGCTTTGTTGCCAAAATCTCATGACAAAAAAAACAAAAATTGCATCAACTGATGTTTTTTTTTTTTAGAATATCAAATCTCAACAAGATTAGCTACATTTTCACTGATAAACTGTATGACAACTTAACATTTAGGAAGCATAGATCATATTCTGTGTGCCAGCTTGCTGTAATATAAGGTACTGTAAGTTTATAATGCACCTTCCATACAGTTTTCGGAAAAGTATTCGAATTGAACTCTGGCTCAATGGCTCAATGTCAGAGACCTAAACAGAGATGAAAACAAAGATTAACTGCAGGTTTCATTTAAAAACATGAATAGCTGCTGGTCTGGTGACTAAAACATTGTCACAAAAAACTAAGACACATTTGACTAACATCCTTGACCCACAAAAAAATATAACTTTGAAATTATTATTTATTTATTTTTTTATTTGTCTCCAGTCGTGCCTGTTTGTGTTTTCCATTGTTTATTCCTGACACGTGTTTAGTTTCTTCTTGTCTTATTTAAGCCCGTTCCTTTCATTTTTTGTTTGTTTGTTTTTCTTGTCATCTTCCTATCCTCTGGTTTTTTGGTGTGACCTGAGATGTTGTTTTCATTTAATGTTCTTTTCATCATTATGTTTCTCCCTATGTCCTACTATCACATAAGGTTCTTACAGCCTTAAAGGTATAGAGGATGATCTTTTATTTCTGGGTGGATCATCAAAATATGGTCCTCCTAATTCCCAATCATTCTGGTGAGATATTTCCAGGATATGCTAATGTTTTTGTAGTTATTGATAATATCTCTCCATGTAATCTAAAGCTAAAACTGTTACTAGGAATTATTAGGTTGGCAATGTCTAGTTTACTTTTAAGATGTTTTCTATGTAAACATGCTAGATAATATATGAACAATAGATGTGGATGACATTAGTTTAATCTGTTGTTTGTGATTATGATTTATTTATGAAGTTAGCTTTCATCTTCTTCTTAGTGCTTTTTTTTGTTGGGCTGGGCTGCTATTCACTGCAAAGCGAGTACAGATGAGCTCTACAAATTAGTAACCACTACTGCTCATACTTAACAGAAAGTATATTAAGTAAATGTCATGAACATTTTCAATAATATAAATTCAAATTCACTAAAGATGGACACAGAGAATGGGACACTTAGATTGAGATCTTTAATTAAACTATTAGATGATATATGATGGACGCATTGGACAAACGGTTGTATGAAGATCAGAATAACAGCTTCTAAAGCAGAGACAAAAAAGATACTTCATAGATGCAGGGAAGGATCCTGTCTGTAAGAAGGATCCATCTAAAAACTGTGATAGACCTGGCTTCCCAACAAGGACCAGGAGCAAAAGCCATGCGGCTAAATAGATTCACAGAGCTAAATAGGTGAGGGTTCAAAATGAATTTAAGTGTCTAAATCAACAAGCTCATTTTGAAATGAAGAAAAATGAACACGAGACAAACCTTACATTTTCATTCCTGCAACTAAGCATCTGGTTTCATATCTGACATACCTCAAACCAGCTTGCAGACAATGACTAGCGTATTTATTTGTGCTCTAGTAGGAATTTAAAACACTCCTCAGTTCTTATTCAGGAAGAGGACAACGACTCCACCAGCTGACTTTTCTGATACAGGTACAAAACTAAAGACTTTAAATTTGAGTGCACTGACATAAATCTGAAAAACTATTTTTGATGTCTAAATTAATTTATAGTTTTTGATAGTGTGTTTTCTAATATGTATTCCAGGTACAACCATGAGACTACTAGGTTACTTTTGTCTTGTGGTGAACTTGGCATTTTCATCAGCACTCTCCCTCCCTTCTGTAAGTATGTGTATGGGGTTTATATTTTAAAGTATTATCCCAATAGCATTTACATAAACATAACCTTTATATGTCATGAAATAAAGTAAGTAAATTCATAGATAGTTAGATTAAAATGCCCTTTTATATACATATATATACATACAGAGAGAGAGATATAGCTATTTTCAATCTCCGAGCAACCATTAGAAATTCTGTGTAACAACCTAACGCATGTAAGGCAATCAGTAAGGATTCATATTATAAGGGAAAATATTAGTTTTAAATATAGCTGTATGGTCTTATGTTTAATTTCTTTCAAACCTTTCATTCCAGGTAGAGGTAGAGATAGTTGGTAAGTGTCAATTTATATATATATATATATATATATATATATATATATATATATATATATATATATATATATATATATATACAAAATATCACATTTATTAAATGATTGCCAATTATATTTATGGTTGATGTGTCTTTGTAGATGTTGGTGAAAACAACACTATCGAAGAGGGTAAAGTTACATTTCTCTTCTCATCCACATTTAACTTTGATTTAGTGATTTCTTTGTTAGAATGACCTTTGGTGAAGTGATTTCTCTATTAAAACCAATAAATTATTGCTCTAATTTTAGATTTAACGCTTGATGATATTCGTGAGGTAGGTTTAGTTCTACAAGCATATAATCAAGGTGCTAATCTTGAAACAAACATATAAATGTTTTGTCTTATATTGTACGCTTCATGCACATTTTTGTTAGCCTCCTAACATTCAAAGAAGCAGCATTCTACCTGGAAATGATCTCTGGACATCGCCAATCCCCTATGTCTTGGATAAAGACCTGGGTATTTATTTATCTTTTGATATAGAATAAAAATCTAATTTCTTTAACCTGTAATTATAGGCTGTGGCATTTATTGTTCCAACAAGGTTCTGTATATTAAATGCTCACTTCTGAAAATGGGGTGTGTTTCAATTTTTTAAATGGCTTTAATGTCATGAAGGAAACATCAGTAATTAATCTAATTAAGATATGTTTGTTTAAAAATTTCCCCTTTGAATTCTTTTATGATTTAATTTTAAGGCTGCAGAGTAATTCTATGTCATGTTCTTTGTTACACTGCTTTGTCATTTATTTTACAATGAAAGAGTTGAACGCCAAAGGATTCATCATGAGAGCCTTTGAGCAATTCAGATTGAAGTCATGCATCGATTTCAAACCCAAGTATTCTGAGGACTATTACATTGATATCCAAAAGTTAGATGGGTAAGTTCTCTGTTTTTTTCTTTACAATTAAAACAAAATTCTGTATTTTGTAGGGGTAAAACAATTGATTTAATAACGTTTCGTCCATATCATGATTAATGGTTTCCAATTCGATTCGGGACCGATTTTGGTTCTTTTAGAACGATCCGGTAGATTCAGTGACTTAAAGTCAGTTGAGTAAATCTTTAGCCCAAATTTAACCAATGTGACTGTGAAATAAATACCTGCATACTGGACAGAGTATTTTCTGGACCATAAGCTGCTATTTTTTCCCCACGATTTGAACTATGCAGTTATATGAACGTGTGGCTTTTCTGTGGATTTTTTAATTTAGCACAAGCACATGCATTTGTTTGACATCGTGCCAGGCACGATAGCAGACAAATGTCTCAAATTCACACATTTTGACATTTATGTGCCACTTTAAAGCTGACAACCCAATGAAGAGACTGTGCGCAACTCCTGTAGAACTGAAATAAAGAGCCGACAAAGCCCCAGCTTTCATTAGAAGCTCTTAATATCATGAGCCAAAAAGCTAATGGGAGCTGGCACTCTTCTCTGTCCATATTCTAGGGGTGATATGTAGAGCTCTCCTTATAGGTTTGGTGGAGGACAATTCGCTATATGTCAGCGGATTGTAGCCCAGGGCAGTTTATATGTGTACATTTCCAGTAAAAAGAAAAAAAAAAGAAAAAAAAACATTTTGTGAGGTGCACTCTACTGTATAGTCTGGAAAATACAGTAGATGAAATCTCGTAGATTATTGTTGTTTCTTTTAAGGGAACTTTGGTATAAATTAAAGTGCAACCATCATCTCTTCAAGGTAATTCCAAAGCAGATTTACCTGCTACTTTCACTGCCTTTTCAATGTAAAATATTACAAATAGAACTACAGTGACTTGTTCTCAACAAAACAAAACAAAAAAATAAAAAGAACCTAAGCTGACTGGAACTCAACTGACACGTCATCCTCTTGCATTCGGTGAATAAAGCTTTAGGTTCTTGGATTGCAGAACTTTTATTGATCCAACGCTCTCACAAAAATGCAAATTGTAACATTGCCCAATGGCTTACAACCAAAGGATCTTACATTTGCTGCAACACTGTGATGAATAAAACAAACCTACGACAACGGTCAAAAAACTGTTTGTTTCTGCTGCAATGAGCACACATGCTTTGCGACTCCCTGTCACTCCATTTAAAATTGATAAAGTCACCCACTGCCAATTTTAGGTATTACAGCAAACAGGAAAAGCGACTCCCTCTCACTCCATTTAAAACAGAAAAAGTCACCCACTGGCAATTTTAGATATTACAGCAAATAGGAAAATAAACCAAAAAAACTAAAAAAATATGGCTCTAATAAAGACATTAATGTAAAAAGACATATGAAATTGACATGCCTTTAGGTTAATTGAGCAGGGTTTGAACCTGCTGTAACTGTCATTGTAAAACAGACTACTCATGATGAAATACAAATACTGTTTTGTGAGTTTATTTTTTTTTCTTCAAAAACATCAAGTGATCCATGATCCATGACCTGGCCACGGTTCTTTAAATATAAACTGGTCATGTTGTTTTTTGCCAAATCTGAGATTTTACAATCACTGAACATGCTGGTGAGGCTTCTTCAGAGCTTACCATTGGCTCTACAAAAGCTGACTTACCGTGATGCTGCTGCAAAGGAATGTTGCCAGCGGCTACGGTGTCTGGTTTATTATAGTCAGTAAACTCCTGCTCTGTGACTTCTCCACATTCCAAGCTGTTTTGAAGTCAGTCACCCATTGTCATGAAATCACAGACAGACGGACTTAATCCAATCATGTTAAACACCTTTATCATTAAAAGCGCTTACATAAAAACCACCAAAGGAAAAAAACAATGTCCTACAGTGTGTTAATTCCTAATATCAATACAGTCAAATAATTACAATTTAAAACAATATTATAGTACTTCATGTCATTTTTATTAATGTAGTTGGATCGTTGTTGGATCGCAGGAATAAAAGTTCTTCCATCAATTAACTGATGAATCGTTACACCCCTAGTATCTTGACATATTTGACTATGACATCTTAGGATCAGGTATATAATTTTTTTAATTTCCCTGAGTTTAATTGAACTGAAAAAAATATTCAAAGATTGGATTCACTCATTGGATTCAGGGAAAAAAAAAACGAGAGATAAAATTGTTTTGAAATATGTGTTGTATACAGTAGTAATGTTATATTCTAAAATTTAATCACTTTCACTGGTGGAAGATACTTTACTTATCTCAAGGTTTTGATATACAAATCTCTGGTGTTTTTCTATTGTAGGTGTTTCTCATATATTGGTCGACAGTTTGCCAATGGACAGGACCTCTCTATTGGTTCAGGCTGTGACTCTCTTGCCATCGTTGAGCATGAGATTCTCCACGCTCTTGGATTCTACCATGAACAGTCAAGATTTGACAGAGATGATTTTGTGCAGATCGTACCTGCCAATATTATAACAGGTAGAACAGATTTTATTTTTATCATTATATTTTTTAATCAAGGTTTTGTTCTGAGTTATGGATGCTTTTCTTAAAGTTAGCATACATACATTTTCTCAATTGTAATGTTGAAGAGGTGTGTCAGCCATGACAGCCAGAGAGAATCCAGGGTTCTAAGGTTATCAGGGTAGATCTCACCGACCCTTGAAGCCTTGAGACTGTGGAGTTTATTTGAACACCTTAAAGTATTCCTCCCACTGTCTGACAATGTCCTCATTCAAGGTCAAGAGCTCCCACCTTCCACTAAAAGTAGAACGAGCAAAGCACTGATTCCCCTCTGGAAGCACCAAAGGGCTTTCCAGAAATACTTTGAGGCCGACCATGGTGGCTTCAAACTCCTCCCAGCCTGAGGTTTTGTCTTTAGAAATTTACACTTGACCTCACAATATCTACTTACTCCCTTAAGATTCCAATAAGATAACAAGGCTCCATACACTGGAAAAATTATCTAGAAACAAGTAAAAAATATCTTAAGTTAAGTGTATACAGTATACCCTTAATTTGAGTAGGTAAATGAGATAGTTTGCCAATGGGAGGAGTAATTTTACTCTAAAAATGAGATAATTAGACAATATGCACTTGAAATAAGACAATGTAATTGTGTTTCCTTATTTTAAATGTAAATTGTCTTGTTCCATTGGCAAAATATTTCTTTTACCTCCGTAATCCAATAAGAAATGCACTTATTTTAAGAACAAAGGACTTATCTAGATTTCGATTTTTTTCCAGTGTAGGACTCCTTATTTAGCTTGACAACATCTCTTAGTGAACGTTAAGTTTAAATCGTAAGTTAAGAAAATTTCATTTGTTAATTACTTAAAGACAGAAAATATTTTTTTCTTATATACCCGGTATGTTATATATGCATGCATATAAACTCAGGCATCAAGCGGTTAATCAAAATAAGTTGAAGAAAAGAGTGAAATGCTTAATAAATGTTTAGTCTAAAGGAGTCTGGCCTCTATTCTAAACTACTCAATAGTACTAAACAACCCCATTCAGCCTTGCAACAGCTTAAATTAATAATTTAATTACATACATGTGCATATAAATCTAAATTAGTTTAAAGGCCCAAGAAGCATGATAAAAGACTAAAGCAAACCGTAAGCCAGTAGATACTTTTTACAGCCCTGTATACTATTTAGATATGTACTCTTTTGTATCTCCAATACTTTTTATTGCCAAAATAAGATATAAATAATACATGCAGAAATGTACTAGTTTAAAACCAGTCCCAAAAATTGTAAATAACCATCTGACTTCTTTTGTATGCGCTAGATCTCACAGAGGTATATACTGTATTTTAATCAGAGTGTGTTTTGTATTAAAACAACTGAATATAGCCAATGATGTTCAATCTCAATCAATTATAAATAAGTTGGGGTTTGAATACTTTCCTATTAATTTTTTTTTTTATGTTGAGATAAAGGATGCAATAATTTTAAGTGTAGTATTTTTTTATATCACACAGGTACAGAGCATAATTTCAGAAAGGTCAGCAGTGATGAATCCACCACCCATGGAACCCCATATGACTACATGTCCGTGATGCACTATGGCAAGAATGCTTTTAGCAATGGGAATGGTAATGGAACAACAATCATCACGGTGGACCCTAGATTCCAAGATGTTATTGGTCAAAGGCTTGAAATGAGTCCTAGTGATGTAGAAGAACTGAACCTCCTCTACAATTGCAGTAAGTGCTTACAGATAAAATTAGCAAAACATTCTCAAGATGTTTTATTTGGTTCAAATCCACCATTTGGTCTAAACAAAGGAAAGACAAAAATTGGTGTTTTTACATTCTGTTATTCACTAAAGGAAATTGTTATTTAAAAAAGTGTTTTTAAAAAATATTTAAAGAATATTTTTTTAAATCATTCAAAAAATAATCCATTTGTTTTATACTTTGGAGAACATGCTTGTTCCTCCCTCTTTTCAAACATTTTGTACTCCAAAAATTTTTGTTAAAGATTTAAAAGTTAACCTTTTAAAAGAAATGTGATCACATTAGACCATTTTTAACCCCCATAAAAAAAACTTTTTTGATGCTCTTTACATTTTTTTCCAAGTCCAACTTTAAAGAGCTCCACTTTTCATCAACATTTTTATATTTTTTTCCTAACTAACGTAATACTTTGCTGCTCTATTCACACCTGTTTTAATCTTCCCTTTTTGAACTGTAGCACTTTGAGATTTGAATTCAAATGTAAAGTGCATTACAAATAAAATTCATTATTATTATTATTACTTTAGTTTCCAGAATTACATAAAATGATATTAAGTAAAATTACAGACCTTACATTAACATAAATAACCATCTTCTTTTGCAGATGCAACTATTTCCTTTATTTTTTACTGTGGCTTTTCCAATGGAACTATGTGCCAAATGAGTCGCTGTTCACAAAATGGAAGTAACTGGGAAGTCGTCACACAAACCCCTGGGGGTCCAAGCTCTGACCATACCAGTCTATCAAGCGGAAGTGGAGATAATGGTTAATTTAATTATTTTTTTCACTTTAAATTCTAATATCGTAATGATAAATACAATTTAATGACTTGTGAGTTTTGAGTTATTCATGGAAGATTTCATTGGTTTAAATGTAAATGTAAAAGATTCCTTTCAAAAAACCCTTGCATGTCTATATGTTAAAACAAGAAAAGTGTAAAAAAAAAAAAAAAAAAGAAAAAAAAAGAAAAAATAATCATCAAAACACTGTTGATGTCACAAAAAAATGTTTGTCCTAATGGTTTTGTGAAACAATTTTTTTCACTTCACTTCCGATAAGGACATGCTATTATAAACATATCAAAAGAGGTCACACATATTTAATTTAAGATTATAAATTATATTTTCTACTTTAATTTATTGTGCAAATGGCTCAAGTCATATGTAAAATGACATCAAGGTTAGAATCCACCAGAAAAAAAAATGTTTTTGATGTCCTTTCAGGTCAACAAACGGGATACTTTATACATGGAAGCACGGCAACAGGTCAAGAGGGCGATTCAGCACGGCTGGAAACTGAAGAAGTGAAGCCTAACAGAGGATGTAATGTTCAATGCTTGCAGTTCTACTATTTCCACAGTGGAAATGAATCAGATGAACTTAATATCTGGATCAGAGAATTCCAAGATGAACAGGACACCAATGGAGTTCTCCGCCTCATGAGCCAGATTACCGGTAATGGGTAGCTTTGTTAAAAAATTGAACTAATTTTTTAATAATTTCTTTGTCTCCCATTTTTGTTTGGGACACCATTCATTTTCACTTCTGCTAGTTTTTATGTGTAAATTGTGTAATGTAGTTAATTTTTGAAAATCTTACTGCAGGTTCACCTACATCTCACTGGAAGATCCACCATGTTTCCTTGAATGCCACCAAGAACTTCCAGGTGGTGTTTGAGGTTCGGAAAGGAGCCGGAAACTCTACAGGAGGCTTCTCAATTGATGACATTAATCTCTCAGAGACAGAGTGTCCACATGTTGTCCTGCAGATTGATGACTTAGAGAATCTTTTAAACACAAGCAACACTGTAACAATAAGATACAGTCCACGACAATATTCAAAAGATGGCCATGCGTACCGTATAGCTGCTATACTTCGCAAACCATCTGTTGGAATGTTTGTGCAGCTCTTGTCTGGTGATTTTGACAATGAACTGCAGTGGCCTTGTCTGCAAAGACAAATGATTTTCCAGCTGTTGGATCAAACCCCGAACAAGAAACTGCAAATGTCCAAGGAACTTGCTTTTCTTTCAGTTGAAACTCAAGTGACAAGTAGTGGTAAGTCTACAACTAATATTTCCACAGAGAACAACTAACTGACATTTAGAAGAATATGGATGGAAACTATGGAATGAAAAAAAGATTCTCCATGTTTGTCTCTATAAACAGGTATACTTGCCTGGAATAATCCCAGGGACAATGGAACTAAGGTTCTCTATGAAAATAATGAGTATATTTATGGTGGACCACTCTGGGGTTACTCACGATTTGCAACCTTGGAAGAACTGCGATCCAGAGAGTTCCTCAAGGGGGGTAGTGCCATTTTTATGTTTAATTTTGAAGGTGAGTTAAATGTTTTCAATTTGTAATATTGCAATAACTTCTGTCTTATTTATGTATATATATATATATATATATATATATATATATATATATATATATATATATATATATAATATATATAATATATATATATATATACATTTAACATTTATTAGGGAAACTTTATATTCTCTGGTATTTTATTTAATGTTAAGTTTTTACACAAAGAACATCTTTGAGTAGTTGTTACAAGAGGAAATGATTATGAAAAAATATCCCAATTACACCAAATAAGCTTAAGAAAGATTAAGCTCAACTATGCTCTTCTTGCTGATATACTGATGCTGTATCCAGAGTTCTACTTAATAAAGCTCTTCCTGTCGTAATATCTCATTAAACTCAAATAGTAATTACACTATAAGTATTTATATTCATTAATTATTTGATTTTGCTTATGACCCTGTGACATGCTTTTCTTTGTGTGCTTTTTCATATGTTTCTTTTTAATGAACAGCAGCAATTTGATTTGTCATGCTACTGAAATGTGCTAGACAAGAAGACATGGGACATTGTCTTTTTTGTCTCTCTGGTCTCTTTTGACTTGGGATTACGTTAAAACATTGAAATATTCAAGAGACATTTTATTTGTTTTCCTTAATGGAATTTTGTGTATTGACAGATCTCACCCCACTGATCAATGGAACTACTCTGCCATGTCCTCAGTTAAGACCAATAAAGACAAGAAATCCTACCAAAAATGTGGATGAAGGTCCATGCCTACCACGGTAAAATAAATTGTCAAATGGATATTTACTGTTGTCAGATGAGTTTACATTCCCAGAAAATGCTTTAATAGGAGTTATTATATCTCAACAGTCGGGAATCTCAATACTTTGACATGTAGAACATTTTTTTATCATTGTAACTAACTTAAAATAACATGACACTGGTCTTGATTCAATGAAAATTAAAAATTGTCAATGCTATGTAAGGGGTTTTAAATCAAGCATATGTGGCATATCTATCTTTGTTTTCTACCGAACTGTTTATATTTTAACTTTCCAGGATTTTATCTACCGCCCATCCTCCTGCTACTACAGACAACAAGTATTGCCTTTAAATGATGTTCCAGTCTCTCCTGCCCTTCCTTGTCTCCTTTTGGTTCTTTCTTTTTCCTTGGAAAAGGGAATTATTTATTGATAATATCACTGAACTTTCTACCTGTGTTTGTAGTTTATGACAACTATTACAATGAGCTGTTAAGGATAGCAAACACAATTACAAAGGAATGACAAGAGAGAAGTCAATGAATGCATTTTGAAATTCTAAACTTATAAAAACTAGGAGGTAATACTCCAAGAGAAAAACAAAGATAAACTTTTCAAAAAATATAAATATTGCTCAATAAAAAAAAGTTCATTAAGAAACACAAACTACTTTATGAAAGTCAGAATGGATTTAGGTCACAGATATTCACTGCTATGGCGATTCTGTAACTTACAGAGGAAGTCATCAGTGCCAAAAATAAGCTGTATTTTACACAATTAATTATAATATATTTATCACGAAATAAGAGCATTATGGTGTATGGGTTTAATACAGTAATGCTTGTTGTTTCCTCCAAGGTTAGAATTGGGACTGATACTGTTTATGCTCTACATAAATGACATATTTAAAGTTTCACAAGTATCCAAGTTGGTTGTATTAGCAGATGATCCAAATATGTTCTGTACAGGTGAGAGCTTACAACAGGTCCTGGAAGATTTCCCTGAAAAGATTAATAAGCTAGAGACACTGGTTTGACAAAAACAAATTTTCCTGGACCTGGAAAATTGACCTGGAAAAAAGCCATTTGGAAAAGATAAAGGAAACATAGATGTGAAAGTCTAAAGACATGAATAGAGGTGGAGAGAGTAAATTAAATAAACCTTGAATTTGTGATTATCTCATATCAAAGATGTTCAGAATAAATTTCTATATAAGCTTTGCAATTATCTGTGAAGCAAAATACTTTCTGAACTATACAGCTTTACACATCCTTTGCTGTTCACTGCTTTTACCATACTTGAGCTACTGTATAATATTGAAATGTTTAGGAGGTGTTAATCTAAAACAGTAAATTACTGTGTCATCAGCATAAACTTGCATATTAGCATCTGACATGTTTTGGTAAAGTAACTTCATGTACATAATGAACAAAAGGGGACCCAATATTCAGCCCTGTGGTATCTCCTTTTAGACATTCAAAAATTCTGAACACAGACTATAACACTCAATGCACTGAGTCCTGTCACTCACATAGTTGCTCAAGCAGGTGACAGCACCATCTGATAATCCAAATCAAGCAAACCTATGCTTTGAAACAGCATGGTCCACAGTGTCAAAAGCTATTGACAGGTCAATAAAAAGCGAAGCACAGCATAACTTTTTTATCAAGATAAAACAAGTAAGTCATTAGGCACTATAGTAAAAGTATTAATTCTACTTTGCTTTTCATGAAGCCTTAATGCTGAAGTACCATACCTGTTCTTTCTCAGAGATACTTGGTTTATATATTAAATTCAAACTAAAATAGATCTACTCTTACTGAGGATTTTATTAAAAATTACATCTTTGATGACATTTTAAATGTCCAAACATTGAAAGCTGCTTTTGACATCATTTAATCTTATCTCATATGCCCCTTTGAATTATCTTTTCTGTCTACTCAAATAGTTTGACATGAGCAAAATTATTACCAAATAAGTTTATTTTCATTTTCAAGGCAGCTAGCTGGGCAATCTCTGCAACAGTATCTAAACTGCAGGCATTATTGTTATTAACTTTTGAGATGGTATCATATTGTTCGGAGCGAGTCCTTTTCTGCAGAGCAGATGAAGGTGGTTTAGTTGTATAAACCCAAACTGCACTTTTTGGTCTACATGCAAAATGCTACCTCAGGCTAAAAACCTCTCCCTGAACACACACATTTTACGATGAAACAAATTATAACTCAACTAACTTCAGAACTGTAGTCTATTCCTAATTTATTGACCTAAATATATGTATAACTTTATCACTAAACGAATTAAGTTGACTACTGATGACTAACAGTCGGCTCGCTGGCACTGATCATACTGCTGATATACATCCAGAATAAATCCTCTTTGTCTGCTTAGGCATACAAATATTTTTAAGTTCTCTGGGTTATGCATAAATAACCTTAAATTACTTTAGAGGATGGCAGTTGGTTCTAAAAAGGTGATTTTTATATCAATTGTAGTGATGGACAAGTATTTTTATTGAGCATGTATTTGCAGTATCTGTAAAAGAACCTAGAGCTACAATCAGATGTTAAACAATACTGTGAATTTTACAGAGTATACGAAAGGAGTATACATTTTGAGCCTGACCATGGATAGGATGGGAATTGATCTAGGTGATGAGAGGAAGACCTTGGCATGTACACTTGGTTGAGCCTGACAAGGCATAGGAGGATTTTGATAGTTAATGAATTTAGAAACCAAATGGAGTGAGCAGACTGCCTTTGGCTTGAAGGATGGAGAAACGGAGAGAGATGAAACGGTGACAACTGTTCAATCTGAAAGTTGAAGACCTTTGAAAGACTGTGAAGTTGAGGAACAACAGGCAGGTCTCACATAGGAACAAAGTGAATAGATCTGAGAGGCCAACCACCACCAGATAAAGGCAGAATGCTATACTAGAAATACCCTATTGACATCAATGAAATAAGTCTTTTAGTGTGCTGACTTGGAGACTTTCATGCTGTGAATTGACTTTGGGTTAGATGAATAGCTTAGAATAGGATAAATGTATTCTTCCCCCAAAGAAAAGGGAATGATATGAGAATGTGAGGCCCTAGCAAGAGAGCTGAATAATTACATTATTACACTGTGCTTTTTTTTTGCCCTTTTCGGGGGAACTTTCCAGTCGTGCGAGAATTTTCCGATCGGGGCCGACTTTCAGCCTGATCGTGCGCCATACATTGTGTGGTGTACAGGTAGTAACAAGGGGCAATCAGCATCTCGCGACCACCTCCCGATCAGGAATTGTGAGGTCGAGAGGAAAATCAAACGTGCAAATCTCTCAGTGGACATGTGCAAATAATGCTTCTTCTTTTTCTTCTTCCTCTCAGATGTAAACACAGAAGCATTGTGGGGGTGAAATGGAGTTCTCTTTGTAAAATTGACAGACCATAGTAGCCACAACCATGTCTTTTTCCAAATACATTGTTGCCTTTTCTTTTTCGGGCTTTCAGCACAAAACTGCAAAAATTGCCAAGGCGGCGTGTTTCACTAGTGAGCTTCATATTACTCTTCTACTCATTTGAATTGAACGATTCAGATTAGCTAGCCGAATAGAAGGAGTAGAGGGTAGCCGCCTGTGGCTGGGGCTGCCTGTCACAACTCCAGTCCGGCTCGCGGAGTGAGTGGAGAAGTGTGCGGAGAAAGCTGCTGTAGAGGTGTTAAGCTTATCCATGGAGATGATGAGCAAGAAGAAAAGAAGACTTATGTCGGGGGGAAGAACAGGTGGAACAGTGTGGTAAAAGAAGATGGAACTGCGGCTGGAGCAGGTGTAGTAGGAGCAGGGCTTGGGAAGTATGAGCCGGGGCGCAAGAGGGCTTAGTGGAAGGGCAGACGATTTTCTCCAGGGTTTCCAGAAGATGTAAAGAGTAGGGAACTGAGAAGATGAAGGATTTTGAGATTAAAATCCACAGGGTAAAAGCAAATTCAGTTAAACAATCTTGGATGAGTCTGAAGAGATTCCCCTGGCTCGTAACTGTGTGGCCAAACAAGTACTATGACATGTTATCTGAGATGGAGAGAGGGCCAGGTCCTCACAAACGAGCAACAGAGATCGCACGTCAGATTTGAAATCATACATAACAACGCATTTGAGAACTGACACTTGAAAAAATACATCTCACCTACAGAGTCACAGCTCAGCTAAAGGCCAGGAGAGTCCGTGGATGGAGAAGTAGAACCTTACAGGATGGTTGGCTGAAGAAGAAATAGGACTTAGTGGTGATTGGCTGGAGGAGAGGCTCATGATGACACTGTTAAATTCAAACAATATTGGGATGAGGTCTAGTTTTAATTTGCATCTAAAATTAATTTAAAATTTTGTTTTGAAAAATTCCTTGTGCTCCTGGCCAAGGAGGAGAGTACTATCTGGTTTGTTATCAGCTTCAACAGAAAGGGTTGGCGAGGGTCTTCAGTTCAAAAATGCTTATCAATTGTTCTTTTAGGGACAGGTTATATAGAGCTTGTTTTTTCCAAGTATCAAGTTCAAAATTACTCAATATATTTACAAAGCTGCAAACAAGTTTATTAAATATTAAATGAACATTAAATATCTTGTATTTAGGTTTGTATAAGTCATATAAAGTTTAAAAAGTATTTGCATATCATTGTATTCTCTTTCTATTTTCATTTTACACAAGTGTGAGTCCAGGTTGAACTCTGTTGAGCCTGCTGTGGCAGGTTAGTGCAGGTACATATACAGTAACAAGGAGATCAGTGACAACTGATCTTGTTACTTTACTGTAAATATTGGTACTTTACTGTAAATATTGGTTTCACAAGATTTATGGTAAGGAAAACAAAATATGGAAAAGGGTTTCATCTGCCAAAATGTGTAATTTTAAAATTGCACATTTTAAAATTATTTTTAGATTAAAATTACGAAATTCGTACAACACTTTATTTTAGTGTCTGTTTGATAACATATTTTCTATTATTAAATCAAATGTTATGATAACTTATTTTTGTACGTTTTTATCCTTTCTTCTTATTTCTTGGATGATAACTTTTTTCTTCATTTCAGAAGAAAATATGCTGCAGCAGTGCTATTCTTACTAGAGGTTTTATTTCACTTTAGAGCCAGTGTCTTCATAAGATTATCTACTTTTTCATTTAGAGTCACACTTTCTACATCTGGAACAATTTGATGGCTGGATTGCTAATGTTTTTTTTAACCCATTACCTTTCATGTCCTGTCCATTGGTCTTATGTGGTGCCTTCAAATTTGCAGCCTCATGCTGCCACATAAAGGTCACTGTCTGCCATTACAGAGGATTTGTCTAGCAGGCTAGACCATCCCTAGAGTAAAAGAACAGCAGCTGTTTTAATTCATGCTTTCAGACATTTTAAAATGTTTGTTTGATGATTTTGTTGTGGCATATTCATTAGAAAATACCATTAACAGAGGAAAGTGGTACTTTTAGGTGTCTGGTTTAAATTAATTTTAAATCACCTCCCACTAAACATCGGTATTTCAGTAGTGTAGTTTGTAGTT